GATGGCAAATGGGTGACTTGGTGATGGGAAACCTGCGGGGATTACAATTGAGATGGGGAAAAAATGTACAAAATGATATATATATATATAAAAAAAAATGCTACCATCAAACTATTTGTGCATAAAATTAAATTAAATCAAATTAAATTAAAAAAAAATAAGTGTTCTTACCTTAGGGTTACAGATTTTGGTCTCCTTTTGTTTAGATGTAACAGGTAGAAAAGCAGGTTTTTCTTCACTTGCCAACGAAAAGAACTGAAGTAAAATAGCAATGTGTGTTAGGACTGTTCTGAACATGGCTCATGAATTTGATGGGAAAATACTCCCCAAACTTCACGTAAAGTTTGCCCTTTGAAAGCACACTCACCCTCTCTATCCATGTCATTGCATATAACCTAACACCTGGCAAAGAAAGCCCTCTAGCAGAGAGGGTCCCACGCTTATTAATTTAAAAACCCACCATATTAGAACTCTAAAATTTCAATTCAAACATTGGAAAAATTGTTGCGCATATTATAAATCACTCACACATGAAACCTGATACTTAAGTTACATAAATCTGGACTGTTTATCTGAAAAATTAGTATGAAATTATAGGAGGAAAAATGGTAAGCAGGCTAACAATTTATCTAAAGGATCCACTTTTAGCAACATAAAATATAGGATGGAGATGAAAGCAACTAGTATTTTTAGTTTATCAGGTAAGTAGAAAATGACCATAATATCTAATATAAATCATAACTTAGGAAATGAACTCAACTACAGAATCTCTTCTTATGTTTAACATTTAAGGAGAAAATTGACTTCCTCAATTGAAGAGGTAGTGCATGTCTTCAAATAATGGTCACTTATCTTTAATAACATTATATTTGCAAGGAAACTTAACAGGTACTTCAGAAATTCAATCCTGTCATGGAATTAAAGTGTTCTGATACAGTAAGTATTGCTCCCCTTTCCAGGGGGTGCCAGGACCCCAGAGCACACCCACAACGTGGACAGGAGCACACTCTGTATTGTTTTTCCCTATCTGTATAGCTACAATCTAGTTATGTTTTTTCCTATCTATACATAACTGTGATATAGTTTTAATTTGTAAATTAGGTCAATAACAGATTGACTATAGAATGATTATGTAACGCACTGCAGTTTATTTCATTTGCTCGCTTGCTGTCTCCCTCTTGCTCGCTTGCTGTCTCCCTCTCTCCTTCTCAAACCACCTTACGTATATAATTCTCTTCAGAGGACAGCTGACTGGTAGGTAAATGAAACCTCAGAATGCAAAACCACAGGTAAGCAGGGACTTTAGTGAGTTTTCAAATTAGTTAGCATAACCTGCCTCTGCTAGAAGAACACCTTTGCTCTGCGTAGCTACTGACACTGCAGGAGTGAGGAGATGCCGTGACCAGAAGCAGCCTAGATTCAAGTTCCTTAAAGTTCTTTCTATCACTAATATCCCTGAATAGCTTGTTTCAGAGAACTATACTAAGACAAAAATACAAATGCGCTCCTTAACTCTGAAAACATTTTTTTGACAAAAGATTGTAAGACCTTTGCAGGCTGTAAAATTACAATAGTTTCCTGCCCCCCCCCAAGATATGTGACATTTATTTTAAATGGTAACTCACCCTGCAGGAAAATATGTGATAGTGTGCATTACACTTCGTAATAATTGGCCTTAAAACGTTTAAGCTACTTTTTAAGTGAAAAAAATAGCAAGCAATCACTTTGAAGCAAAATTCTGCAGCTGCCAATTCCTCGTTTTACACATTTGATTGTGTTAGCTAGAGTTAAATTGGCTGGGTCACCTCAGTGTGCATTTGCTTGTCTCTCTGTTTTAAAGACAAGAGCTGCAGGAGCAGCTGTATTTAAGTAGCAACTCCTGGGTTAGGGAATGCTTGCAACTCTGCCAAATTAGTTTCACAATAAAAGGATGTGTTGGTGTACCAAATCCAGAGATCGACCCAAACACGTGTCTAAAGGCACCTAGCATACGCCCAGTAGGAAGGGTAACTCAAACGAGTGTCTGTGATACCGATACTACAAAGAAAATTTCTGGCTTACTTATTTTGAATTTCTAAAATTTGACTACAGTTCAAGTCAGCATATCTGGTTCATTTTGCTTCTTGGTTTCTCTGCTGACTGTGATGACCAAGGTCTAAAAAAATATCTGCTGCATCAAACTTTAAGCTTCACATTATCTTGGTTTGTCTTGATCATGCTGCGTTTGGCAGCCTTTTGCTGGGTTGTAACCAAAAAGTCCTTTCTAGCTACTCCATGTTTTAAAAGTTAACTCACCTGCAAAGGACTTCTTGGTTCAACTTCATTTTCTTCTAGCATCTTAGCAACAGAACATTAGTATGGAAAGTAGACCAAAAGTCAATAGTTAGTTACAAAATAAAACAAAATTTGTATTGAACTAAGACATACAACACCATCACTAACAAACCCAGAAGCTAACGATGGCAGACGATGATTAAATGCTATGTTCAGTTGATTTTTAAAAATCTTAACAGTACTGGTGAGTATAAAGTGAAATTTTCATATTATAAAACAGTAAGAATTCAGATTTGACAATATACTCACCAGAACTGTTAACTAAGACAATTGTTTTTAGTTTTTCAAGCTATTATTTCCACTTCTGGAAAATAATTTAAGACAATAACTTAAAATGCAAACAATGATTTATGTGCAAAATCATTTTACTAAAGATTTACTTAGAATAGCAAAATGCTGGAACTAATCTAAATGTCCAGAACAGGAAGCTGTTTGTCCAATGCATAGAGTACCCACATGATATAAGTGACCTTTCAAAAGTTTAAGAATAGCTTATAAAAGTGTGACACAATTGGCCCTCCCTGGTGGCGCAGCGGGTTAAAGCACAGCACTGAGAATCTGAAGCCACTTCCGCATGAGTTCGATCCCCGCCTGCCCCGGAGGTGACCACATGGCATGGCAGACCTCTCCTGACCCGCCCGCTGCTCCCCTCGGCAGTGTACTTTGTCAATCTGCCTGTTCTGTTCCCCACTCTGTCTCTGGTGAAGCCTCTCACCTCCCCTGAGCTTCTGGCCTGTACCCCAGTTCTGTATGTACAAATAAATCTTTAAAAAAAAAAAAAAAGTGTGACACAATACAATGTATTGAAAGGATTTAAAAACTATTTGTGCACACTGGTTCAACTGTATTTTCAAAAATAGGCCTCCCTAAAGCTAGAAATGTCAATAATATATCTGGGTAATAGGATTAAATTTTCTTTGTTGTTCATTATTTTCTGTATTAAAAAAAGGAAAAATAAATAAAGATTAAAGGGCAAAATAGGATCATGACACAGAAAATAGTAAAATTCTACATAAAATATGTAGAAATATTTCACTTTTTCTTTGAAACATGTCTGCTTGAAAGATCTGTGCCATATAGTGAAAAAAACTCTCCCTCCAAAAGCAACATCCCTATTCTAGATGACTAATTTAGAATAGACTAATCTAGATGTCTTTTACTGCAGAATTTCCATTCACCCTAATTAGTATTGTTGCCCTTTATATTATCACCATGGTTCTCCAGCTGCAACAAGGTATTTTGGATACAATACAACCAACTCAGCAGTGACTCCACAGGCATTTTAAATTTAAGAGAAATTCTCAATATTTCTGCCAGCCACTGAGTGAATGACTAACACAAAGGTAGTTCAGTTTCAACATCAGATTTGACATCATTTCTTTCAATAACATTCTATCTTTGTGAAGCTGTTTTGTACCATATACAAATCAATGTGGAAAAGAAATCAAACCTATCCCAAGGTTTGAGAAATTGAGTAATGCCCAACCATGGTACACACTCCATTAGTAACTGTCTTTATTTAAGGCAAAATGCTTGTGAAATCATTTTTACAATATACACTTACATTAAGTCATTATGTTGCACACCTTAAGTTAACACAATATGTATATATTATGTCAATTATATCTCACATCTGGAGAAAAAAGCCACAGTGCTTCCTTAGTGCTTCCTTAGGACATAATACTTGTTAAGTTTTTTAATATTACTAATTTCTTAGTAAGTGGAACTGTAGGTATTTCTCTTAGTAAGTGGAACTGTAGGTATTTGATTGAGGATGCAATGAAAACATTACTGAGCTACAAAGGGGCGGAGGCCATGACCTAGACTGTTCAGACCCTCTACATTACTACAATCTCATAACAAATTATAGAACATTCTGTATCAAACTAAAATATGCCAATAGAAAAAATATGTACCTGTTGAGCATCTCGGTTCAGATGAGGTGACTTTGCTATAGCTTGTGAAGCTACGGTAGTCAACGGCTTCCTAGCTACAACGGACAAGATCAAAGGCTTAGTCACATTGCACACATTTTAGTGCCCTAAAGATCTTATTTTTTTTAACTGAATGAAATAAGGACTATAACTTAAATTTTAAGATGAGGCAAGATCTTGGTAGTTATTGAACCTGGATTATGCATATTCAATTCTTAGTGAACAAATATTTTCATGGTAAACATGCAAAACAATGTAGGATGAAATCTTTTTTGATTATAGTAGTAAAGGCAGTGTTTCCTTTTCTTTAAAATTCAAAAAGAAGGTCAACAGTTAATAAATGATACTAGAAATGTTGAAATATTAACCAATGAATATTGATTAATGTTAATTAATATTGAAGATCTGTTGGAAGCAAGAAAGTCACAACACCATTATACTGCTGCTGTGTTTGCATGCAGAAAGGGGAAAAAGCACTTACTGCTACTTGTGAGACTATCTATGGTGTGGGACACATACTTAATAATTATTTTCTACGCATAGTGTGCCAGTTACTGGAGCAGTGGTGAGTAGGATAAACATGATCAGGGCCTCTGCACGGTGTAAAACTACAGCACTATGAGGCTGTCTGCTGTCACTGCAACACGAGTTCGGTCCCCAGCCAGGGAGGTGACCCACAGGGTGCAGGAGATCTCTCCTGTCTCCCTGCTGCTCCCTGTAGAAGTGTATTTCAGTCATTCTGCCTGTTCTGCTTTCGCTGTCTCTGGTGAGTCCTCTCACCCCTGCACCTATGGCCTGTACTCCAGTTCTTGTATACATAAATAAATCTTTTTAAAAAGTTATATTTTCTTAAAAGAAAAAGTATACAATCAATAATCTTAATCCTATCTAACTCACCAGGAAGACAATCATTTAAAAGTGGCTGTTAAAAAATATATATATATACATATATATGTATATACATGTATGGTTGGTGTAAGCTTTTTTAGCTTACTGTTACTTTGGGGTTCATTTTATTTTCCAGTTAAAATAAAAAAACACAATAAATGAAAAAAAAGTGGATTTTGGAACCTGATGTTATTTCTAAACAGAGCTTTTTAAAGGTATTAGATGAAAAGTGATGTTTTTTCCTTCTACCTTCACTCCAGAAAAAAATTCAAAATTACCACACTGTGGATTATTATATAGTATAAATAAATGAGGATGAGTCCAATGAAATGATACAAAGTGACTTCCAGGATATATTATTAAGTGAAAATCAAGGTGCTAAAGCATATAGAGTTTTAAATCTTTTGCTGAATAAGGGAACACAAGAATTATGTATGGAACTGTTAGATAGTTGTAAAAAGAATATATGTAACAGATTGGCTATTTATAACAGTGACATCAGAATAAAATAGAAGTCAGGGATCTGCATGTTTTTATATAGGTTTGTCTTATGAAATTAGTATTTCACATCAGAAGAAATAAAAAGTAAATCAGCAAGAATGGGCAAAAAAGCCCTCATACTGAATATAAACAATGAACTCAACTATAAACATATTTATACCAAATCCTAATATAATCACACTGAAGGAAAAAAAAGCAACCCAACTTTTGAATCCAGTGCTCCAACTCTCTACCTTAAGTATAGTTGAAAAACAGAAAGCTTCAAAGGATTTGTGATTTTTACAAGACTATAAAGGTTTTTCATACTAGTGACAGTGGGAACCGTGTAGGTATGTACTGTAGGACAGGCAGGACATATGTTGATGGTTTGGGGACTAAGAAAACACAATTATGGAATGGAATAGAGGAAGAATGCTGTGGTTTAAGAAAATTAAATAGAGATATCAATATTAACTCTAGATGTTTTTTAAGAAAGTACCTCCTAGCACAGGTCCATGAATGAATGTTAGGAATGGATCATCACACATATTTGTTTTGCTTATATGCATGTAGATTGTGCTTATATATGCTTAGAATACTTCTGGAAGGAGTTTCTAGAAGGAAACTATAGATGATTTCAAGAAGTAGACTGAAGGACTGTGGTTAAGGAGACCTACTTTTAATGTGTTAACCTCTATAGACCTCATTTCACAAAGTATTTTTATTACTTATTTAAATACAATGTAATTTTTTTGAATGTAGCCTTCAGAGCAAATATCTTCTCATCATCTGGACTCTAAAGAGACTAATCCTCTAACATAAAGTAGCATATACAGATGTCAAATTACAATGCTACAAACTGAAATCTGTTATAAACCAATGTTACTTCAAAATTTTAAAAATTTTAAAGAACATAACATATGTAAGTCAAAAGAATCAAAATAGTAAAAAAGAATTTCATGTAAAATGACAGTATAAATGGTTACATTCCTTTAACAAAAAATTTGTCATAGCAAAATTGACAAAGTGTCAGTATTCTCTTAAAACAAACAAACAAAAAATTAAGATCACAATTAAATATTTCCACCATGGGGGAATAAAAAGAGCATGAACGATTGAAAACAAGTGTGCCATCCTAACTAACCTTCAGAACTCCTCTCTGGCACATAAGCCTGCATACTTTCTTGCTGCTTTCCCAGTATTTCCAAGGCTTCCAAAGCTGTACTGTGTTCAGACAGTGACTTTAAGAGGGAAATGTTATTCACCAATTCAGAAAGTTCTGAAGAATTTCTAGGACTGTTCCAGTTGTGTTTTTCTCTAGTTTCTACTTCAGTAGGACCATGGAGTAAACTCCTAGTCCTTCCTAAATCTTCAGATTCAGGAATATATACTTCTGTGTCTCTGGAAGTAGTATGTCTTTTTCCCAGAGGGCAAAACAAAGAATTTGAAACTTCACTGGTCGATTTACCAAGTGCAATACATTCTTCAGATTGATTCTGATTAGAGTTTAACAGCTGGACACTGCCGTCACTTACAGAGGGTGATGGTAAAATCTGTTGATCGTTCTTATCGTTTCCTTGAGGTTGAGTCTGTTCTGAAGAGACGTTGTTTTTAGGAGTCTGATCAGTAGCCATGTTTAAATCAAGTGTATGTAAATTTGTGTTTAGACTTTTAGGTTTATTTGGAAGTGAAGCTAAATCAGAGTTAATTCTGACTTGTTGGGTAGGCTGATCAGCATCTTCACTGTTATCTACATAAACATCATCTGGCCACTCTAATGATGAATCAAAATGGTTTAATGAGTCACTGTCTGCTTCCTTTCCAGTGTCTACCACATTACAAGGTCTTGTGTCAAAACCTGCGCGAGTTTTATCACAAAACTGTGATGGCAGAACCTCTTTAAAAGAAAATGTCTCCATAAGCTTGCCCCTGGTAGGCAATGAGAGAGGTGAGTATTCACTGCCACCTTCTTCACAGCTGGTTTCCTCATATCTCTTTTGGACACTTGAATGACCACCATGAATCAAAGGTCCTGTTACCCAGCCCTCTGAATTCTGGGAAATGTTGTTGCTTTCTTGTGATTCCTCCTCAGTGTCACTGGTTTCAAAATTGGTCAGATTAAAAGACACCTCCACAAGTGGTTGTGTTACACTACCTGTAGGCTCATGACTGCTGTTAGCACGCTGATGACCAGTATTTGGAAACATGTCACTGACACTATCTGAGACCTGAGAGTTGTTACTTAGAGAAGATTCAATCACCAGCTGCTCAGATTCAGGCAGATTTGCTACTGCTTGTTTACAGTCCTTTTCTGGTGTTGTGTGTATATTTCTCTTCTGCACATTTTCTCTAACGAGACGTGAGTCTGTCATGCATATAGGATCATTCTGATTTACAGGTAGCTCATCATTTCTGTGAGCCCCAGATTCTGGCAGTAAAACATCATTTTCTACATTGCTATAAGTAACGTGTAAGCTACTCGTTTCACAGAACGAAGGCGTTTGTGAGTTTACTTCTTGACCCCAAAATTGATGATCATCTATCAGAGTGTCTTCATTATCCTGTTTCCCCTTTTCGGCACAGGTTTCAAAGAGCTGTATCCTTTTCTGTATCAAACGGTCTTTGAAATTTAAATTTCTGCTATCTTCCTGGTTTGTGTGTTTCCTTTTTATATCATTTTCATCTGCAGTAGGAGAATGTACAGGTAAATGCTGTGGTGATAAATACACGCTCCACCGGCTTTTATTTCTCCTGGTGTTTTCTGATGGCCGCTGGCAATGTGAACGTGCTGTGTTCTCCCCCTCGACGCACTCTTCCTGTTCACTTACACAGCTTGCTGTAGTAGGCGTTCTTAAACTTTCTTGTGGTTGTAGCTGAGGAAAACGTTCTGTGGTCTCACAGTGTAGTTCTCCAGGCATACTAGTCGATGAGGCCTTCAGAAGAGCTAGTATCTTGGCTTTGCTTCTGATGTTTTGTGAAACTCCTGAACAGTGGGGCCCCAAAACATCTCTTCTCAGGGCCTCCTTCATCAGCGAAGACCCTGACTGCTGGTCTCCAGAACTGACAGGAGAGCAAAAGTACTTTTCTTCAGTGAGCATTTCAGAGTTAAAGTTGAAGGATGGAGTAGTGACAACCGAAGAAAAAGGCATGGTATTTGTCCCTGTGCTGTCATGAGTCACGGTGTTATCAAGATCTGTTGGTGTAGTATGTACCTCTTTCTTCCCAGCAGTAGAAAACAAAGGTGATGTCGTGTAGACTGGAGAAAGAAAAACATGGCCAGGTTTCTTAGCCGCAGGTGATGTAGCTGATTCACAGTTCTCAGTGATAACCATTTTTTTGGGCACTTGACGTGGTCCTTGAAAACCCTGAAAACATTAAACAATTATTTGCTCTTCCATAAACTACAAAGACAATGTGAAACAAAACAGCTTTAAAAAAAAGCAGAAAGGGGGCCCTCCCTGGTGGTGCAGCGGGTTAAAGCACTGCATTAAAAAGCTTAAGCCACTTAATGGGTTCGATCCCCGCCTGCCCCGGAGGAGATCCACATGGTGAGGCAGACCTCCTGACCCGCCTGCTGCTCCCCTCAGCAGTGTACTTCATCGATCTGCCTGTTCTGCACCCCACTCTGTACCTGGTGAATCCTCTCACCCTCTGCATCTCTGGCCCATACCCCAGTTCTGTACGAATAAACAAATAAATCTTTAAAAAAAAAAGCAGAAAGGGCCGTCCCTGGTGGTGGCATGGGTTAAAGCTCAGCACTATGAAGCTATCACAGCCACTGTACCACGAGTTCAATCCCTGGCCAGCGAGGTGACCCACGTGGCACAGCAGACCTCTCCTGACTGACCCACTGTTCCCCTCTGCAGTGTGTTTCAGTACATCTGCCTGTTCTGCTCCCCATTCTGTCTCTGGTGAATACTCTCACCCTTCACACCTCTGGCCTGTACCACAGTTCTGAATGCATACATAAATAAATCTTAAAAAAAAAAGAAAATTTGCTAAGGTAAAATGCAAACACTTATTTGTATTAAGATTTTTTAATAACTAGAGTTTATCTTCTTTCTGTCTAAGCGTGTACTATACAGTACCATGTTTAATGAGAATACAATTGTTTCAAAACTCCATATTCCTTGAAATGATCTTATAAATGTGTTGGAAGCCTGCAGCCCTAAAGGGAGCTGGCATTTTTGGAGAATACCTGTGTACTCTGCATATGGAGTTTAGGATGTTACAAGTTCTGCAAATGGAACTTCTCCCAGAATTGACTCCTGTTCTCTAAGGACATACTGGCTTATGCTCATGTTCTTTACTAACTAGGAAAACTTGTTTTCAAAAACTTGCTTTCAACAGTGACTTATTAATCAGTATAAGCAAAAACTCAGTTGCATGCAATTTTCTTGTTCCTTTGTTCCTAGTGACCACAGCTTGGGCTGAGAGAGTGGCAGGCAGAGCTGCTCCCAATGGCTCTCCCCAGCATCCCTCTGTTGCAAATTCATTTACTCCGAATCTTCGTTAATAGCAAAACCTTCTCCACTGTCTGGCCATCCGACGCATAAATGTATACTGCTGTATTATTTCCCACAGGAGACTTACAGTAAGCTTCCTTTTTAAGCCAGCAGGCTGACATCCAAGGGACCGGCCCAATGACATGATCCGTCTTGAATTTAATGCTGGTGCTTCTTGGATGACATTCTGTTGCATAGTTCGGCCGCCAGCAACTTTAACCTCCTCAACTGTGATTAGGTAGCGATCACTTTCTAAGTCATCTCCAGGTTTCACCTTTATTTTATGGAATAAATGTCAAAATCAGACAGTTCTAATTAATTATCGAAGTATTTCTGTTAAGTTCACTAGCAAGACACAACATTCTATAAACAGTTGTTGAATGAAGTAATTAAAACTAAATTATTACTGTGTTCAAGGTAACTATCAATAAGGACAAAAAGGAGAAAATAGAACAAAAAAATTTATCAATTCATTCAACAAGGAGGATCTATCTGAGACCCTCTGTTACATGCTGGGGGCATAAAGACGTAAGCTCTTCTTATGGCGTTCACTTAGAATCCATACAACTAAAGGTAGTTTTTAAAATTACAGGTAGTAAAAAGAATTAAATATGTTTATGAGTGAATGTGAATTACATACATATTCAGAATTCACAAATTAAATATTATAAATTACTAGTTGCTTAATTAATAAGCATTGCAAGTCACCTTAGTAAACACAATACAGAACTTGCTACCATCTCTTCCTACAGGATAAGACAATTATCATACTACTCAAAATATACAAAATCTGTGTCAACTTAATTTCTACTAATGAGGTGATTTTAAAATAACAGTAGTTTCTACCATCTAAGGACCCTGCTGAGACAGTGCTTCTCCATCTTATAAGGGTCTCCCTAATGGTGCAGAGGTTAAGTCTCAGAACTATCAAACTATCACCAGCCACTGCAGCACAAGTTCGACCCCTGGCCACAGAGCTGACCCACATGGCACAGACCTCCCTGTCTCGCCCAACTGCTCACTGCTCCCCTCAGCTGAACATTTCAGTAAATCTGCCTGTTTTACTCCCTGCTTGGTCTCTGGTGAAACCTCTCACCCCCTGCACCTTTGGCGTAAACCCCCGTTCTTGTATGCATAAATAAATAAAATTAATCTTTAAAAAAATAATTTATTTTTAAAAATCACATAAAACTCTAAAATATTAAATAATGATAACAAGAATATGCACTTTCACACTTTTAGAATCACTGTAACGATGACTAACACTCTATTTAAATTATTTCTAATTTTCAGATGAACCAAGGGAGTCTGTCAGTGGTCTGCATTTTGTAGTATATAAGTCAGACAGCAAGGAAGGGTGCAAACCCAGAATGGCCACCTCTAAAATCTTTACTCTTACGCTCAAAAGTACCTTGCATTTCCCTCTCTTCCTTTTTCCAACATGTGAAAAGCACAAAACAAGTACTTAACAAAAGTTGAACAGGAATTATTTCACAAAGTAAGTAGTCCTACCTAGCAAAACCATGTTACAGAATCAGACTACAGCAAGACCTTTCGGGCTCAAATCTCAGCCCACACTGTAACCGTGAACAGGGATCATTTACTTAACACCTCTGGGCCACGTCCCGAGCTATACAAACCGCAGGGCTGGGTGGAGATTCAGTGGGAGAAGACCTAGAAGCTCTTGGTCTGGTTGATTCTTCAATAAATATTTACTCTAATTATTACTGTTGGTACCATGATTATACTACTTAACCATATTCAAAGAAGAAATATTGAAAGGAATTTTAAAATAACAACTGAAGAATAAGAAAGAAATGTTAAAATACCTCAGGGCATTTAAGAAATATACTGTCCAAACATTCTCCTTTGTCACCATATAAAATTGCCTGTGTGGAAACAAAATTAGTGTTAAAAAGGAACACTAATTGTTTTCTTGAACATCTTCAATAGCAAATCAAAAACTGGTATGTAAATAAAGCATACAGGATTTCCCTCTGTGTTAACCTGGGTTAGGAAACACATCTATTTCAAGTATTTACTAAGCATCTACATGCATGAGAAACTCAAGAACCTTAATGCCACCAGGAGAATCTCGGAATGGAATGAAAAGGAACATGGAATTGGAATGCATTAGAGGGGACAAACAGGAGATGAGGCTGGAACGCTGAGGTGGGAAGGAGTGCGGAGACGAGTGTCGCTCAAAGTCACCAGCACCCCTGGGCTATAACAACAGTTTATGGCCCACAAGGAATAACACCAGCTGCTTGTAAGGTGTGTGGGTGCAAAAGGAACGGAAGGTTATTACTGGTCGCTGGCTTCTCCTTGTGTCACTCTCGCCATTTTTCATAGCAGTTTCTCCAGCAGACTCTTAAATATTGCAATTTCTACTGCTTTGTACGACTGTTTGGCATGGACTGTGGTGATGGTCACAAAATGCTGCAAATACACTCAGGACCACTCAACTGTATGAATGGAGCCACTAAATTGCATGTGTGCGAATTACAGCGCGATGAGTCTATTTTTAAAATTGGTATTTCCGAGGGCTCTACTTTTTACTCGAGTCTTTACTTTCTGTACTCGACCCTGCGCACTAGCATCCGCATCCATACAGATCGCAGCCTGTCAGTTTTGCTCAGATCCTGCCTGTCTCCACAGCTCCTAAAGAGTCAGGACAGAAGCCTTTGGTGACCAGTAAGGCCTTCCTATCCCTTTCACAGTCATTCTTGCCTGTGTGTCCACTCCTAGCTGCCTCCCTACCCCGCTAGACACATACGTGTGTGTGTGTGTGTGTGTGTGTGTGTGTGTGTCCATTTAGCTTACTGATCTGTCGCCTCCATGTAATTTCCACAGTCATGGACTTTCCTGTTTTGTTGCTTCTTCATGCCCTACAACAGTGGGAAAGTGCCTAATTTATAACAAATGTTCCAAAACCTCTCTTGAATAAGTGAGTGAGAACTTGAAGCACCACCCAAACGCCCGGGAAACCCAATCATGATCAGCAGTCCAGAACCCTCTTTCTGAGTTCTAGGCCCCTAACGCCAATTTCTGCAACTTCATATGCTCAACATGGTATGCAAAATCTTTATTCCCCCAACTGTGCTTCCCTTTCATAGGGAATTTATTCCAGCACTATAAGCATTATACAGAAACCAAAGTCTTCATAGATTCTCCTCATGTTCCACATCCAAAATGTGAAAATTTAATAATAATCCATAATTTCTCTCTAATCCTTTTTCTCTATTACTATTTTTAGTGCCTTTTTGGTCAGAAAACCATCATTTTTTTATCTGCATTATTTTATAGGCTTTTCACTACAAGTTTTCCTAACTATAATCTAACTTTTACCCTATATAACTTAAAAGTTTTGTTAGACATTGCTGCCACAGTGACACAAACACAAACGTGACACTGCCACTCTTCTGCCCAGAATTCTTCACAGGACGCACAAGCTGGGCACACCAGGCCTGTGGGATGTGGCTCCTGTGGGCCTTCATGCCAGCCGCATTGAACTGCTTATCACCCACTAAAGGTTCCAGACGGTTTCATACTTCAGGACAGCTAAGGCATCTCGCTCCCCTCCGCCAATCTGTGAGATCCCCAGCTTTCCTTATTCTCAGGGATGCCCAGAGTTCCTGCTTGTCAACAGGTGTAGAGTCACCCAGGGGGTCTCTTACCAGGGGCTGACATCCCCGTATAAGGAACATACTGGGTCACCAGTATCTGCTGAAAACAGATTCAGTATCTGTTAGAAACAGCAGGCAGATATTAGAAGAGAGAGAATGTGCTTCCACCAGGAAGAATAGTGGAGGCTTCTGGCAAAGCCCCTGGTCACTGCACCCTGGCTTCCATCCCCAGTAACTGCTTCCCCCAGGGTGGTCTCCCTCTGTATTGACCCCACTTTTTTTAGGCCCCTCAATGCCTACCACTGAGGAATGGTAACCAATAGGAGACTGCCTTTGGATCTGGCTGCCAACCACAGGGAGCCCCTCTTGGCTTCTCAGTGTCTATATGGCCCTTGAGTGAAGTCTTTCATCCTGTGCTACTCCCAATGCTTTGATAAAAAAACTGTCAATGCTTTTGATGTAAGATTGTAAGATTTAGAAATTAGGTAGCCAATCAATTTGAAAGTAGTGTGTTGTTTTTAGTATCAAAAGTGATCCTGTATTTTAAAAGGTACTTGTCATATTTTATTTTATATGTACCTAACAGATTAGGTTCATGATTTCATCTGTCGTATGATCCAGCAATTCCTCACTCAGGATCTACCTGAAGAATACAAAAATGCTCATTCCAAATCTGCACTCCTGTGTTCATTGCAGCACTGTTTACAACAGTCAAGCATGACGAGTTAAGTGGCCAAGGACAGATGAGGAAGATTAGAAAGATGAGGAAGATGGGGTATGTATACACAATGGAATACTAGTCAAGCTGTAAACACAGATGAAATCTTGCCATTTGCAACAATGTGGACAGAACTGGAGGTGGTGATGCTAAGCAACAGAAATCAGAAAGAGAAAGACAAATACAGGATGTTTTCATTTATGAAACATGAAATCTAAAGATACAAAGCCAAAGGACAGGCAAAAGTGTGTGAAATCTAACTGCGGAACTGGGGGGGGGGGGTTAGGGGGGGGGGGGGTGTGGGAGCGCAGAGGGGTGTCCAAAGGACTGCCGCACAGACACCTGACAAGCACTCATAAGAGCTGCTCATGAGAACAGATTTTTTCCAATTCAAACATTAAGTATTTACTAGGCTTTGTATAAAGCACAACTTATCACTCTGATGTGGTACTACTCACTCAACAACTTTGTTTTCATATATGTCAACTAACAGACATAGCTAACATTTTATTGTGTACAAAATCTTCCTTAACATTCAGTGCAAAGGGAAGAACGAGAGTCTCACTGCTGGTGCAAGGGGTTAGGTCTCAGCAGTATGAAGCAGTCGGCAGCCCCTGCAGCACAAGCTCCATCCCGGGCCAGGGAACTGCCCCACATAGAGCAGCAGACCTCTCCTGTCACTCCAGCTGCTCCCCTCAGTAGTGTGTTTCAGTCACTTCCCCTGTTCTGCTCCCCACTCCGTCTCCTCTCAACCCCTGTACCTCTCACCTAAACCCAGCTCTTGTGATGCATAAATAAAAATAAATCTTTTTTTTAAAAATGGCAAGAACATACCTTTTGGACTCCAGAGTCAACTGCTTTGCACTTACTTTGTTTCCCATGTGAGTGACCTTCAGAAGTCCATCTTGCCACACTTTCGACTTCTTCATCTTTTGATGAGTATACAGTACCTTATTTTAAAATGTATGGAGTTAAAAAATGGTTTCTATTTCTCTGTATCTGAATCTACACATTTATATACCCTTTCTAAATAGAAAAGACACCTTTTATCAAAATAAAATCATAGATATCACAAAACTATAACAGAGCATCAATTTTTCTTTTTTAAAGGAATGCAGGCAATAAAATGTGGGGGACAAAAGGAAAGCTAAACTTACTGAAAAGGTAAATGAGAAACAAAAATAGTTTCGGTGCAAAACTATTGGTGGTGGGAAAGGAAACTTTGGGGATGTCCATACTCACGCTGTATGTAGTTCTCAAAGTGCAGTCCGGAGGCTAACAGAGGGCCCATGACTTTCTCAGGGGTCTCTGAGGGCAACATTATTTTCATGGTGTTATTTTTATTTTCATTTGCATTCCTTTGGGCGTGCATAGTAGAGTCTCCCAGACTTGTATATGTGCAATATTTTAAGACTCAATTCGGGATTAAATGCTAAACCAGATCTGAGAATCCAGTTGTCTTCTATTGGGTCAAATGTTGTGGGGACTTACAAAAATTATATAGCAGCTATACCATTATCAAAGTTTTTTGTGCTATTTTAGAAAATACAGCTGTTTTTGATCTCTTTAACAATTAATTTTTAATGACTTAATACATTGTCCACATTTCTATGATAATTTCTAATGTGAAAGAAAAATGATAGATATAAGCACCATAAACAAAAATTCTGTGGATCCTCAATAATTTTTAAAGGTATATCAATATACTGAGTTTATGAAGCACTGGTTTAGAAAAAGAGGCATACTAGTTCCTCCAGAGAAAGAAAATTCCAAAGAATTTGATGCAAAGGACTTTATATAACAAACTGTTGATTGATAGTGAACAAAAGAAAAGGTTACTAGGGAAAGGTATAGTAAAGGGCAACATTTGAGATATACATGTAACTACAACAAGTGTTCATTTTTAATCTGGAATTCAAATTTGACTAAGAGTGCTACTAGTTAGGGTTTTGTTTTTGTTTTTTAAATCTGGTACCCTAACAAGACATTTGTGAAATGTGGGAGGAAAGGAAAGAAAGGAAACAACAAAAAATGGTAAGACTTACAATAAATTCTTGGCTTTCCATTGTTTAATTCTTCAGCTCTAAACCAGTCAGGCTCACAGTCAGTAATTATTCCAATATTTATATCACCTAAAATGAAAAATGGCGAAGAATATTCAATGCTGATCAAAAGAGTAAGTATCAAAGACAACTTTTTCCGTAAATTGCTAACCCAAGAGAGGAATCTAAGTCTTCTAAGGGAAACACAAATGTAATAAAATCTTTTGCCACTGAGGACACAAAGCATGATACAAAAGTGTGGGAAATAATTTTCCAGCAAAAAGAAAACTAAGTGAAATATATAGAATTATTCATAGTCTGCAAACATTTTTGGAAGGTGCCATCAGATATGTCAGAAATGTAATTCTCCCTCCCCACCTCTGTTTCTTAGAGAATGAGCATCAATTTTTTTAAGTTTTCTGAACTGCTGTGGTCACCACAAGATGGCCCCCTTGCATTTAAATTTTTTCTTTGATATCTTGAGGTCAATATACCACAGCCTCTAGCACCAAACATACACTGTAGTACTGGGCAAAGAAAACATTCAATACCCTTGCAAGAAGCACTATAATTATCCTATGCTGCCGGATAGAACTGTTATTGTGGAAATTTGGAAATCAAAAATTACCAATGGAGGACTGAAAAAGAGAGATGCTAATGGGAATTTTTGTTTTTCTCTAAAGCAGTGGCATCACTTGGTTAGAAAACCACATTCCTGTGTTTCTACTCTGACTATTAAGTCAGAAAGCCCAGCAGTCCATGTTTCAACAAGCTTTGCAGGTAATAGTGGGTAACATATGTTCTGGTTTGAAAACACAGCCCTAGGAGGCCTTGGGGGATTCAATAAAGCAGTAATTTGCAATTCTTGGTTAATTTCCTCTTTAATACATATAAAATAAAGTAGGCCACCAAGGATTACTTATAAATTACATATATTATTCAGCACTTACTGTATGTCAGACATTATTCTAGGCTGAGCTACTAAAGTGAATGAAAGAGGAAAAAATTAACAAAGTTCCCACCGAGTTTGCAGCATAGTGATATACAGTAACTATAATAAAACATGACAAGAGTAAGCACAAGTGGGCATCCAGCTTGATCTGGGGCATCAAACAAAGCTTCCCAAAGGATGTAACATCTGAGCTGTCAGCTTAAATAACCACCAACCAAGGAAAAATGCCAGAGAAGGTGTTTTGAAATAAGAATTAGTATGTACAAAGGTCTGTGGGAGCCACAGCAAGGGATGAAATCTAAGTCTTACAGCTCCAGGGTTAAGTGTTAAGAGTGAGTGATAAGGGATGAGACAAAAAAATGAGCAATGCTAGAATTTTGTGTTATATTGAGTTGTTGCTATAAAGACAGTAAGACACGACAAGCTTTTAAGACTAAAATAACATAATTTGGCTTGAGTTTTAGAAAGGTCATGCCAAGTGAGGAAAATATGAAGGGGTATGCACATGAGCTACGAATAATTGACCCACAGCTAGAGAAGCATTGTCTTAACTGCACATCCTGTAGCCCTCCCTGCTAGCCCACAGGCATTTCTAGGTTCCTAGTGAATGCCAAGATAAGTGTTCCAGAGAAACACATCAGATTTGGAATTCAAAACTAAACTCTTGGTGCTCATACTCACAAATACTGTATTATGTTACTACTTATTGAATAACTACTGTGTGTCAAGGGAATTGGACTAGACATTGTCCATGTGTGACTGGCTTTCCTTGTGACTCGGAATAGGTATTACATATAATTGTAATGGTCTTGTGATCCTAGGGAATAGATATTATTAGGATTTATAAATTATGAATCCAGTATCCACTAATTTAGGATTATGCATATGCTGTTAAGGAAGTGCAAGATGAATTCCACATTAGAGATGTTACTTGTAGGTTTTACAATTTAAAAGGAACTATGAGGGTCCAAACTCTCATAAATGGCAAATTGGAGTATAGGATTAAACCTTAAAAAAAAAAGGGTAAGTGAATGTTAACATATTTACCAGAGTCTTGATTCTTACATTCAAGCAATAGTCAACAAACCTTTTTTACCATTAACAGGAAAAACGATTTTAGTCGACAGCATCATATATTTAAGTGGCATACAAGGGAAAAGAATTTTCTGCAACCTTGTAGATTTTCTACCTACACTTATCAAACAACTCACCTTCTCACAGGTGAAAAGTTTAAAGTGCAAGGACACATTTTCAAAGTGGTGTGAACATGTTTTTTTATAATCACGTGCATACATACTACACATAGACATGAAAAATATCGTGCTGTTGTATACATATCAAAGATGTTCTCACTACATTATGAGCCATTATCCCTGTTCAGTAAGGAGTTATTTTCGGTCCTTTTGTTTAGTAAGAATCTTCCCAGTGCCTAGATCGGCCAGAGTTAAACGTGTTAGATTCAAAATCCCTAGATCCTGTTTCACCATCTAGTCCAAATAACCAAAAGAAACCCACAGCTCTCCTGCCAAAATTCGAATGCTCATGATTCTCTGTAAGCAAACGACTGTAGACATTTGGCCGTCTGCCAGCCATTAAAACAATAAAACCCCCTCTGTTCCTCACATGTGCAGGGATTGCAAAGCAGGGATTGCAGAGCAGGGGCTGGGCAAAGCGGAGAAGTTCAGGCGCCAGGTTCTACAGAGAATCCACGCAAACTGTGGCTGTCACTTCCCCAATCCTTCCAGACAGCGTGCTTACCGAGCCGCTGCTATTGGAGCACATTCTTCCGTCCCTTCGCCCTAAATTAGCGGCGCATTCTCTAATCCCCCTGCCTATTCCTGGGAAACCTCAGCAAAGCATTCTCTTCACCTGCCCCATGGCTGAAACTCCGTCTTCAAAATAATCCCGCGAAAAAGCGTGACGTCATCGAGCCGAGCCCGCAGCAGATCAGGACCCAACACTTACCCCGCCCACCATCGCCCGGCCAGAAGGTCCCGTCTTCCAACAGCCAATCAAATTATTCATTGGTTACGTTCTTCGACGCTCCGCCCCTCAGGCCGGCCGCTGCCTGTGACGTAAGCGACGGCCGCACCACCTCCGGGCCGTTTCTCGAGTCGCCTCGGAGGAAGCTGTCGCTCGTCCTGTGACGCTGAAACAACCACGCGTGTAAGGAGCAGGAGACGGAAAAGCTGAAGGAGACAGTGTGTGGCCCCGTGTTTCGGGAACTGGACGGAGTAAGTCACGAGTCGACTGCAGGGTCCTTCCGGTTGGGTAAAGTCTAAATTCCTGTCAGTTCTTTTTCGTGCACTCCCTTCTCTCACCCCGCCCCCTCTCACGACCCCCTCGAGTCGCTCGGCGCGTTTTGTGTGCGCATGCGCGAGGGTTCCTCCCGCGCCTCTCCTGGTTCTCGTTCTCGCCAGAGCGGGGCGCTACGAGTCAGGACTCGGAGACCGGGAGCCGCCTCCCGGGCGGTGTCGGTGCGGAAGGACGGGGCCCGAGACGGAAATTGCACCGCAGCCTGGGGTTGCACCTTAGTGGGCCCCCGAATAGCGAATGTGAGGTCTTCTATTTTTAAATTGAGGCATTATCTTTTGCAGGACTCTAGACCGTGTTGTCAAAGAGTTGGAAATCCGGTAACGGAAAGGAGCTAACGAATAATAAGGTTTATTTAAATCAATGTGTGGCGAGTGCGTTAATTTATCTACTTAGGAAAATAAGAAGCAGGTAACTGGGAGAAGCGTCTTGGTGGCCAGGTACGGAAGCGAGATGTCGTTTATCCTGGGCCGTGATTCACTGAATACAGGTTTATAAGGCAAATAAGATGACAGGACTTTTCCAGTGCAGAGCACAGCAGCAAGGAAGCGTTCGGGCGCCGGATACCGTTGAATAGTCAATCAACTGTCAGTAAAACAGCTGATTTTACAGTGGTTCGTAGCTTTGTTGGTGCACCACTTCTTTTATAAAGATAAAAGCCGCGGCTGAGCCGCCTAGGAAAATGCATGCACATGTTATAATGTTTTACATGCAATTTTTCTTAGGAAAAATCGCGACTTTCAGATGGTCAAGGAGAAAAAAAAAAGCTGGGTGTTTTGCATGGCTCAGTATCTTTGCCTTTCGTTGTCCCTGAGCTAGTTTATAGTGGTACGGTAGAAACTGGAGAAACCCCAAGGAGAGTCGTCATTTTATATTTTTAGAAGAGTCATGCTCCCTTTATGCTTAAAATCCACCTTTTATTTTTAAAAAAATTTATTTATTTATGCATACAGAACTGGGGTACAAGCCAGAGGTACAGTGGCTGTGAGGGAATTCACCAGAGACAGAATGGGGAGCAGAACAGGCAGATGGATGAAGTACACTTGAGGGCAGCAGCGGGCCAGACAGGAGAGGTTTTGCAGCCAGGTTCAGCAGGCCATGTGGGTCACCTCCAGAGTTGGGGATTGGACTCGCAGTGAAGCCAGCTGTGCAGTGCTGCATTCCAAATCCCTGTGCCACCAGGGAGGGCCCTAAAATTCATGTTTTAACAATTTTGCTCACTTGCAAAATAAAACCCACATAAAACTCTGGCCACTAGGTTAAAGACTTCCTAAACCAGAAATAGAATGTGTGGTAGACAGGCCGCAGTAGTTCTGCTAAAAGGTGGGCCAGAATTTCCCTCCTTCTTTAACTTTGGTGGAGTCAAACTTAATGGTTGAACTTTTCTAAAAAAGAAATTGGAAGAAATCATCTAGTGGGATTATGTGATTTAGACAATGTATATAAAGTAACTAGCCTGGTTATACAGTAACTTGTATTCTTTGTTTAAGGAACATGCCTAGAAGCCAGTTAGATGTCACTTGAGGGTTTTTTGTTGTTGTTGTTGTTTGTTTGTTTGTTTTAAAGATTTATTTATTTGTGCGTACAGAACTGGGGTACAGGCCAGAGGCTCAGGGGCGGTGAGAGGCTTCACCAGAGATAGAGAGGGGAACAGAACAGGCAGATGGCCGAAGTACACTGCTAAGGGGAGCAGCGGGCGGGTCAGGAGAGGTCTGCCTCGCCATGTGGTCACCTCCGGGGCAGGCGGGGATCGAACTCATGTGGAAGTGGCTTTAGTTTCTCAGTGCAGTGCTTTAACCCACTGCGCCACCAGGGAGGGCCAACAACTGTCAAACTTTTATGCCCCATCCTCCAGCTTCTGGACCTGTGATGCCACCATCCTAACGTTTCTACTCTTAACCTCCATCAAGAGCATGTTGAGACGGTAGACTTTGAGGATCAAGACTGTAAAAGTATTGCCAATCCAATTTACTGGGATTTTTTTTTTTTTTCAAAATGACAAAATACAAATATGTGTTATGCACACTAAGCAAGTATATGACCATCTCCAAGCTACAAAAGTGACCTCTAGAAGGAATGAAGGCTGGCTTCTGGGGCTGAGACCTGTGCTGTTCTGATTGCTAGGACGATTGGGACTTTTCTGTGTTTATACGTATTCTGTCCACATCTTCTTCAGAGGGCGATTTGGACAAGGAAGGGAATTAGAGAGCTGACCATCTGCCCTTTATAATTTATAATTGCTTCCTAAGGGAAGGTTAGCAGTAGACCCTGTTGCAGTTATAATGCTAGCCAACATTTGTTCTTTTTTCTGTAATTCCACCCTGTTAACAAAAAAGTTAAAATGCTCAACAATTTATAGATGCTTTTAAGTACAGTAGTTAACCATTTAACAGATGTTGCACTGCTGATCAAGCTAAAGTTCCATCCCTGAAAGAGTTTATATTTTAGTGGGTAGACAGGAAAAAAAAAAAAAAAGATTGTCATTCCAGGTGGGGATCAAAGGATCTGAGAATAGAAAACATTGACTGAAAAGGGCTGTTGTAACTGGGTGGAAGAGACCACCTTCTCCAGATGCTAAGTTCAGTGGAGACCTGAGTCCACAAAGTAGTGATTCCTAGATGTGGCAGGGGAATAAAGGGAGCGACCAGAGCAGAGACCTGGGGGTGGGGATGGCATGAGTATTTTGGAAGAGCAGGTGTGTGGTGGCTGGAGTAGGCCTACTCTAGAGAATTGTAAGGCATGAGGTTAGATATCCCCGGCTGGGTGGGATTGGGATAGTAAGGATTTGGGGTTTTATTTTGTGATAAGAAAGCTGTGGAGGTTTTTTGTATGAAACTGACATGCTGTCGTTTATCAGTTTAACTGACTGAGGTCGCTATCTGGAGAACTGTTGGTAATAAGAGCAAAAAGCGAGTGATAGTAGGCAGGAAGCTCTTGTAGTAGTTGAGGCAGAAAACACAATGATAAGCAGCTTGAGTTAGGTGGTGAGATGTCAAAATGAGATGTCAAATTTTGTATATTGTAAAGGTATATGTGGTAGTGATTTGACTGTCCGGTGTGAAGGAAGGAATCAAGGGTGGTTTCAGCAATTCTGTCTTCTCAGCAGCTTTGTAATGGTTTTCTGAGATGGGGAGAACTGGATAAATTTGAGGGCTCAGTTTTTGCCATTTTACATTTAAGGTCTCTTAGATGAACAAGCAAATGTCAGATGACAGTTGAATATTGGAATGGGCAGCTATTAGGAAAAATCAGGGCTGGCTTTTAATACAGAAGCATAAAGCCAAGGAGTTTGAAGCCAGAGTCATTCCAAGGCTGAGTAGGCCAGTTAGGGAGCCCAGCAGTGAAGGCAGAGTGGGAGGACCCAGAAAAGGACCAGACCCTTCTGGAAACCTGAAAAAGTTTTCCAACAGGGAGTTCTCAGCAGCAAGTGCTGCTGAGGGACCAGGTGTGTCAACAGTGGCATCTCTGTAGTGTCACTACCCAGGGTGGCAGGAAAGCCTGGCAGGAGGGGTAGAAGGAGAAAGTGAAGAGTGAGCCCAGCACTACTCAGAAAGCTGATGGTTTTTCTCATGATGAATGTTTCATGTTGTGCATTATGCTTGCTGGCAACATCCAAATATTTCATTACTCACAAGCTTTCAAATTTGGTACTTGGGCTAATCAGCTTAATCTAAGCCTGTTCTAAAAATGTCAAAGTATCTCTGGACCAGATTATACTTAGTTGAAGCTTTGCAATGTGACATGCTACCTTCTTACTGGATTCCACCCAAACCATACATATTGCATTCTGCACATTACTAGTGGGCTTACTGTATACTGTGTTCAAAAAGAGAATACAAGGCAGAGAAACAGGGACATGTATTTCCTCCTCTGGATTTATGCAAATGCACCATTTAACCCAGATCTGCTGCTTTTCTTTTTATCACCTCCCCATCACCAGAGAGGGCCACTAGTCTCTGTAGTCATTCTGGCAGGGAGACAGCTGCCATTCTCCCCGGTTTCTGTATAATTTGACCAGACTGACCAGTTTCTAGGAAAAGCATGTGATGGCAAACTGAGGCAAGCCTAGTGCTAAGCCAAGCTGGATGTTCTGGAGTATTAACATCCCAGACCCATGTGTTCACTTTTGTATTAGTGTCCTTAGGGATTAAAGTGACAGTTCATTTCACTTGCTCACTGACAATCTGAGAATGCATTAAGGAAACAAACAAGCACTGCATATTAATGTTGGATAGTGGTAGTACAATGGATAAAAAATTGTTACATAGCAGTTAGATAAAAAGGCCTTACGTGAGAGACCAGTTTATATATAAACCCTGGTGACATAATTGCAGATTTTAATACTGTACTAGTACAACTAAATTACTGTACTAGTACATCTAAATATGACAGCTTATCAAGATTAACAACTCCCTTCAACTGCTTTAAGTATCTGCCTTTCCCCCCTCTTTTTGTAGAAATGGAAACAGAAAATGGGAATCAAGAAAAGGCAATGGAAGAGGAAAGCACTGAAAAGAAAAAAGAAGTAGAGAAAAAGAAACGGTCTCGGGTTAAACAAGTGCTTGCAGATATTGCAAAACAAGTGGACTTCTGGTTTGGAGATGCAAACCTCCACAAGGACAGATTTCTTCGGGAACAAATAGAAAAATCTAGAGATGGATGTAAGTTTGAGTCTGTGTTAGTGGAATCCACTTTTGCACAGGTTGCCTTAACTTAGTGCTGCTGTTGTGGAAGTATAACAGTGCACCAGCAATTAGATCTGTTAGTTTTTATCTTTGCCTTTAAGTAGCACTATATACTTAACACTCTTATATATATACCAGGTCATTTGAATGACCAACTTAAAAATGTTAGATATGCTGAAGCCTTTGAGTTTGAGGCACATTACTGAAGCAAATCCCCACCCCCAAAAAATCTTTTGTTTCAAGGTGGAAATGTGTGAACTAAATAAAACCTGTCAAATTTTTGATCCTACCTGCAAATGGTAACCAGATTAAATTAAATGCATTACCGTAGTTTAGCTTTCATTTATACTTAAATTTGCTCTTTACTTTCATTAGATGTTGATATATCACTTCTCGTGTCTTTTAATAAGATGAAGAAATTAACTACTGATGGGAAATTAATAGCCAGGGCACTGAAAAGTTCAGCTGTTGTAGAGGTAAGAAATACAACTTTTTATCCTTGTTTACTTCACTGAAGGTACATTACTGTACTAATAACCTTGTGTGCCATTCTTAAAAGCTGGATTTAGAAGGCACCAGAATCAGGAGGAAAAAGCCGCTAGGTGAAAGACCAAAAGATGAGGATGAGCGGACAGTGTATGTGGTAAGATATTATTCGGCGCTGTCACAGCTCTCAAGAAGGACAGAAACATTTTCACATTCAGGTTAAAATTTATTGACCTAAGTAAGAATACTATAATACCAAAAGTACTTCTATTTTGTTTTAGGAATTACTTCCCAAAAATGTCAATCACAGCTGGATTGAAAGAGTTTTTGGGAAATGTGGCAATGTCGTTTATGTAAGTATACCACACTATAAGTCAACAGGAGATCCAAAGGGATTTGCCTTTGTGGAGTTTGAAACAAAGGAACAAGCAGCAAAAGCTATTGAGGTGGGTCCAGAACCTAAAACTTGGGGAAAATAAAAAGCAAAGGAAATTAGCAGGTAGTATAAATAGTAATATGTTTTGCATTCATTTCAGTTTCTTAACAACCCACCCGAAGAAGCACCTAGAAAACCTGGTATATTTCCTAAGACAGTGAAAAATAAGCCTATTCCTGCCCTCAGGGTGGCAGGTGAGTAGTTACTTGTGATAGTAATAAAATAGACATTTTTCAGTTTAAGTGAGAGCTCATAGTAGTATTGTTGTAGAAGAAAAGAAAAAGAAGAAGAAGAAGAAAGGCCGGGTGAAGAAGGAGGACAACGTCCAGACCAAAGAGCCGGCTGTGGACACGAGCACGGAGAACGTCTGTAAGATGAAAAGAACAAGGACCGCGTCAGAGGGCTCCGAGGTAGAGATGACTGAACCGCAGAAGCCGCCCTCCAAGAAAAAGAAAAAACGGGAAAAAGCCGAAGCATCTGGCTTACCTCCAGTCAAAGCAGGGAAGAGGAAGAGAAGTACTTGTGAAGACACAGAAGGCCTAGTTCCCAGAGCAAAAGTAAAGAAAATGGCTCAGAAAGACAGCATTAAACAAGAAACGTCAGAAGTGTGTAAAGAAAACAAAGGTACCACTGTAGTTAATGTGGGGACCGGGGGACTCTTAAAGTTTGTTTCCTCACTTACAGCTGTTTGTTTTCAAGATTTAGAAGTGTCTACTGAAGAGGAAAAAGAAACTGGAGATAATAAAGATGGATCCCTCTTAAAAACGAAAAGGAAGCATAAGAAAAAACACAAAGAGAGACATAAAATGGGAGAAGAGGTCATACCTCTGAGGGTGATATCCAAGTAAGCTGCGCCACCGCTCCTTCCCGCGGCTGTTGGCACACTCCATCACCATTGCTAAAGTGCAATTCCAACTTGTATTTTACAGAGTTGCATATTAGCAACAGTAGTGGCCCGTGGCCAGTAACTGCCAGCGCAGATAAAACACGGGTGAGGGTTAAAAAGGAACCACCACACTAAAACATGGAAGCACTTATTTTTAATCGCGGCACAGCAAGTGCCTCCATGTTAAAGTGGTGGGTGTTCCTGAACAGACTTAAAAACACGGCTTAAATAGCCCCGAGATTTGCAGTTGAGGGTGAAGCCTTGGAAACTGGTGAAAATGTAACAGCAAGACTTACCATCACTAAAACATGGAAGCACTTACTTTTCTAGCTTCAAAGCAAGTACATCCACGTTTAAGTGGTGGGGAGTCCAGTCTGAAATGACCTTGGGATCATGAACACCCTTCAAGCTGTAGTCAAGGTTAGGAAAATCTCAGCTCAAGTAGTGTGCAAGTTCGGAGACACCTCCACTGAAACATGGAAGCACTTACTTTTGCTTTACACAGCAGGTACCCCCATGTTAAAGCAAAGGGGCTCTCCTTCGCCTCTAAAAACCAATGTTAGACCCAGAGTTGTAATTTGGATTCACTTCTACTAAAACATGGAAGCACTTACTATTTAAAGTCACAGAAAGCACTTCCACGTTAAAGTTAAAGGGAACCCAGCCCCTCGGAGCTGAGAGCCAAACCCAGAGAAAACAAGTCAACATACCTTTTGGAGAGAAGTTAGTCTTAACCTTCCTGGCTTAGTTCCCAGGAGTTCTGTTTTCCACTAGAAGGTTAAAATGCAAAGACTGCTGGCACTTCTATTTATACTGTTCTTAACTCTTGAATTCCTTTTGCCTTTTTATCTCAGAGAATCATTACAAGAGCCTTTTGTTATTTTAATGTATCAGCTCTCTGGGAAGGTATGATCCTGGGTGGGTCTGGATACTTTTTTTTCTTTTTTTGAAGTATACAAATGTCAATGTTAACAGCTAAAACCATTACCACAAAATATCCTCCTTTTTAAAAAAAATCCCCTATCTGCCTGTTTGATGGCAGAGATTAGGGTAACAATGCGTGCTCCTGTGGAGCTTGAGAGGCATTGTGTTTCTATCTGGAGGAGCTCTCTCTGTTTGAAGAAACATCTACATGTTAAATGTATGTAAATAAATAAATTGCTTCCATGGGGTGTTTTTTTTCTTCTTGGAAATTCCTTTTGATTCAAGTAAAGTCTAAGGAATGTTATCTCTCAAATTGGAAGCAGTTTAACAAATCTTTCCATTTTAATCTCTTATTTCCCTCACCCTAGAGATGATTGTTGCAGTAAAGTTACTAGTTAATTATCTAATTCAAAATGCCAAATGTTTGAAATATACTCCAGAGTTGCATTGGCAAATTTAAAACATTTAATCTGAATGTTGGGGCTGTGATAACACACCTTTACTAGTTACTAGCTTGGTGCACGTAAGACTCAGAAAATAACTTGAGTGTACATTCTACGAAAGAAGTAGAAAGACAGCAGACTTTGAGAAGTAGTGGTCTCTAATCACGGCCACTGTATTTGGTCGTTTACTTTCAGTCTTCCTTTACTAAAGTTTTAAAAGTAGTTTTGGTTTTTCTTTTTTCCACTGTAGGACTGAATGGATGGACTTGAAAAAAGAGTATTTAGCACTGCAAAAAGCCAGCATGGCTTCTTTAAAAAAAACAATATCCCAAATAAAATTGGCATCAGAAACGGAAACAGACCGTGGAGTACCTACTGAGTCTGAAATGAAACATGAACAAAGTAAAGACCACTTTGATAGTATTTAGCATTGTGTTTGGCGTTCTCTTGTACCTGTATACTAAACTGCCACTTGTGAGTTGTGAGATAAACTTTAACAAATATTTAATTATGCTGTAGTCATTAGAACAATTAACGACTTGATGTGATTATTTAAAGGGCTAACTTTAAAGTGTTATTTTTGATCATGTGTTTCCTCTACAGTCTCTATTATTAAACAGGCTTAGTAATGAGTGCCTGTTTTCTCTGAGGAGGTTAGTACAGATGGAGACTAATTTCTCACCTTTAATCTCATTCCATAGTAAGAACAAACTACGAATTTTCACACTTGAAACAGTATATATAGCGTATGCACTTATCTTCCTTTATTTTACTTACTTATTTTTTAATTGTTACTTGGTTCAGGGAAAGGGGCCCTTTTTTTTTGTATGTGTTTGCATGTCCTAACAATAGCAGTTTACATTTTGATTAATAAAATATTTTTAACTCAGGATAATCTGCACTGAACAAACTAGTATGACATACAGTGCTATGCCTTAAATACTTTACTTCTCTTACAATTAAATTTTAAATTAAGTATTTAAGTGTGCTTAAGAAATCGTTGTCATCATGTGACAGGGCAACCCGATTGTAATTGTAGCAGTTACTCTAGAATGGTCCTCCTGAGTGTTAAACATTAAATGTAAGAGGTTTATTTCTGGAATTTCCCTTTCAAATCAATAGCAAATAAAGAGGAGCTCCCCCCCCAGAAGATGAGTGCTGCTGGACCACAGTTTGTGAGTGGGGTGATTGTGAAGATCATTAGCACTGAGCCTCTGCCTGGCAGGAAGCTTGTCAAGGTAATGCTTTTGTGCCCCCAGAGCACGGGGTCCTTTCTCTCGCCCCTTAAAAACTCCCTGTGTGAAAATGTTTTGAAATGGAAAATGAAGAAAATCAGTTAGAACCTGTTCTTCTTGGTAAACTCTGTGCAGCGTTTTGATGCCACAATAACTCTTAGCTTGTCTTGAAGAAAATCTAAAGACTGATATTTTCTTACTCGATCAGATTTGGATTGAACACAGTTCAAGAATCCTTATGTAGGAAAACCCCTATATATTTTTATTGGTGCCGCTCATGGCTGTGTGGTTGAGTAAGAAACTGCTGTTGTCCTCCTTGTAGTTAAAGGAGTAAATATGGAAACTCATTTTAGGGGACTTTTTTTCTGTTACTGGAGAAAAAGAATTTAGGAAAATACTTAGTGCCAAAACGTTAAGAAAAGATCTAATCAACATATAGTGTTGGTCTGAAGTTATATCAATAGTGTGATCATGTTGTCTGCTGTTGGAACAAAGCAAACTGGTCATTTGCTTTATTAGAATTCTTATATTCATATTCCTAAAGTCCGTGACCTGAAAAGCAGCTTGTTTGGGAACACAAAAGGCGATAGCCATATTTTTTCACTTGCCGGCCCTTAGTTTATTTTTGTGTATTTCAGTGCAGAACATCTTGAAGAAGTAACCCTTTATTCATAATAATTTTTTATTAGTTTTGTTTTTTTCAGTCCCTGATGATTTTTAAATGAAGCAATTGCAGAAAGCCAAAAGTTTGAAAAGCTACAAATATTTTACATGCTTGTGGAAATTATCCATATTCCCTGAAACTTGTATCAGAAATTGTATGGTGTCCTTCCGCTGTCTTTTCCGTACATTCTCACACTGACAGCACTCAGTACTGTTTTTGTTTGTCCAGAGATGCACTCATACTAGTCACAGTTTTTAACTCACATAAAAACTGAGGTTGCTCATTGTAAACATCTGCATCATTGCATTCTGGAAATGCAGCCTTAGCCTAAAAGCCAACAACTCACTAACATTTAAATTTAGATTCTCTTTCTGATAGTGATCGGGATTTGGTGAATCCCAAATTGGCACTACCAGCTTATATCATAGGGTGTAGTAGCAATGTTGTGTTTCTGATAAGAAAGCTAAAATATTGAGGGAATAAATAAGAATGTATTCGCCTCAGGCAGATTACAGAAGGTTTCATAGAAAAAGTTCCCAGCGTTTGATATTTGGAATGACTAGCATACAGTTAACTGTATTTTCAAAGTTTTTAATATCTAAGTACTTCTTTCATTTATGATCATGAAAATATTAAAAGATTATGTTATCAGCAAGTAACTTACATTTTGCTGGAACAGAAATTGAGCCTGTTGAAAGTCACCACTGTCTGTGACTTGCCCGTGTGATTATCACGCTAATTTTTCACTCTAGGAAGGGTCTTAATCCAGATTAACCTGACATTATGATGGATATTTAGTAGATATCTCTTGAATTGTGGTCATCTAATCTGTCTGATAAATGCAAAATTAGCTAGCTCTGAATAAGTTCAAATTTCAACACCTTGATGCTGATAATCTTTCTTGCTTTATGTCTGAATTTGAGACTAATTACAAGATATAGAGAATGAATTGCTGAGTATATTTCCTAGTTCTGTGTGTGTGTGTGTGTGTGTGTGTGTGTGTGTGTGTGTGTGTGTGAAATTTGCAAGCACTTAATTAATAAGCTGTCTGCTAAATTGGGATGCTTTAAAAATCAGTCCCTGGCTTCTCTGGATTCAGGTTTTTTGCCATTCTTATTTTTAACTAATACACTTTTATTATACTATAATGAAATAATATTCCCATTTACTGTTCAACTCTTTCTGTTACTCAGAGTTGGAACATGGACATTTAAAGCTAACCTAAATTACTTAAGGCTTGAAATTTGGGAGAGAGACTAAAAGAAGGAGCTCACTAAAATGCTCTTGTTCAGTTAGGAATCTACAGTTATTTCTTTACCTTTATGAATGGGAGTTGATGAATTAAGAATTAGTGTAACATTCCTGCATAATTGCATTGTATACTCTTGTAAAACCTGCTGTGAAAAAAAAGTTAGGAATGCAGGAATCTTGTTAATTTGACCTCACAGCAGGCATTACAGGTAAAACTTTTCCTTGCTGAGTGAGCACAACTTGTTTAGAAGAGGTTGCTTTAGTTTTTTTATCAGAAAGTTTAAGCTCTTGAGCTATTTTCTTGGAGAACCAAGAATTTTTGTAGGTTCTCTGAAACTCGTTTTTTTCATGAGTAGATGTAAAAGCTTGAACTTTTTTTAAACATAATTTTAACACATAAGTGGTGTGTGTACAGGTAAGTGGAAACACCTCCCACAATCTGTTGGGTATTTTTGTTTTTTCCTTCTTACTAGGAGCACACTTGGAACCCCTCTGCCTGAGTTAGGGGACATGGAAGTATTAGAAATTCTGTTCTACAATCTGTTCTCCTTATGCAGTATTCCCATTCCAGTTAAGATGATTGAATGCAAATAAGTAAATTATTACTAGAATCGATGTTACATTGTTTTCCAGTTTTGTCAAAGTCAATTTTAAGAGCATTTGTGTTGTGTTTAAAGAAATGCTTGCTGCAGAATTGTCTCTCATTTTAAGTTGAATGTGCTTGTTTATATAATGCATTCTACCACAGCCATTGAAATAATTCTAGAATTATTAAATATTTTTATTAATTTGAAGTCTTTCAAACTCTGACGCAGGATACATTGGCTGCCATCTCAGAAGTTGTTTATGTCGACTTGTTAGAAGGAGATACAGAATGCCATGTTAGATTTAAAACTTCTGAAGATGCTCAAGCGATAATAAATGCCTGCACGGAAATTAAAAAGAAACACTGCTGGGAATTACAGATCCTCTCTGGTAAAACTTTGTAGAAATTTTATTTAATACTTAATTGTGGGGCAATTGTATTATAAGTTGAGTTCAGAGCTAGCATTTTTTTCTACTTGCATATGCACGCAGTGGCATTAAATAAGGAGACAGCCACTGTTCTATTACTGAAATAATGCCTTCAATATGTGTCTCTTTTTAAGGTGATCATGAACAGAGGTATTGGCAGAAGATTTTGGTAGATAGGCAGGCCAAGCTTAATCAGCCGCGGGAAAAGAAGAGAGGCACTGAAAAGGTAATCGGTTCTTAGTTGTTTTACATCTTTTTTTTTTTTTTTTCATTTCGGTATTTCGGTTGCCTAAACTTTTTTTGAGTTCGTTGTCTTCTGAAAGTCAGCAATGTGTAGCCCTAAAATAACGGCAGTTTTGCTCTGTGCAACAAAAACTGGCATGACATCCAGCTGCATTTCAGCCTGAGGGAATAATAATTTCTCTAGATTTGGAATATGTGAGTTACTTTCCCCCACAAGGGATTCACACTTAATTTAAAGGGCTCATCCCTCCCTTTGTTTTAATAAGGTAAGACAAGTGAAACATAAAAAACTTTGATTTCTGGCTTCTGTGTCTTGTAGTTTAGTGGTAAGTGTTCGTTTAAAGATTGTATTCATGGTAAAAACAGATGTATTTTGCTTATAGTTTTTGAAGGTTAAGACCTCCACAAATAGGATCAGTAGACTTTCTGCACAATATTCTTGGTAGCAGTGATAAACGTCATTCCTTTTTCCCTGGAATAGTCAGCAAGTGACATAAGCAAGCTTCAATAAATAAAATCATTTGAAGCAAGTCCTTCTCAGTGTTTTATTTTACATGTTCCTGAGTAATTTCAGTTATTATGTTGTCAGTGAGCTGTTAGGTTTATTCATTAAAACATTTTATAATGATAGAACAAAGTAGGAGCCGTGATTAAGGTTATTATTACCAAAATGTTAAAATGCCTATTATAGAAGCCAAGAAAAATCCAAGATGATCTTTTTATGACTGGTTAGCAGTTAAAAAGCCAAACTCCCTAAAATCTAGGTTTGCTCAATTTGGGGTTATACTTACGATTTTTTTTTTTTAAGCTTAAAAGCTTGAAAGACATTTATTTTTCACCAACCTTATTTTCTTAGGCATCATTAGAATCTAAGATGATGATGGTGGGAGGTTGCCTACTGGTCTTTTGTGAATTCTGTTACCCTGAATGCTGGTGGAATTTGCTCAGATGGGGAGGTCTTCTTCCTTCCTCAGGGCTTTCATATCTATGAGGTGTTAACTTCAAGGTCTGTTTGAGATTATTTAAATGTTAAAATTGTTAATCCAGATCTCACAACTGAAATGGAATCACTTTGTTGTGTAATACTATTCTAATTGCTTTGACATTTCTTTTAAGTTGTATATATTTATTAAAGAATTACTAGATTTATTTTTCAGACTGAGCCTATCTCTGTAAATTTTATTTGAGGCAAGAAAATAAACATTGACTGGGAAATTTGTAAGTTGAGTTTGTTCAGCCATTGCAGTGGAGAGTTTGTGATCTCATTTCCCTGTTGCTGTGTCTTGAGGCTTTTCATTAGTGAGGCTTTTTTGTTAAGGACAGATAGCTGAGACTGGGTGTCCTAACTGAAGCTTGTAGGCTCATCTGAAATGAGCCAAGGAGTGTAGACTCAGAAGTTTTTGCTTGTGAATTTATTTGAAACTTTTTTGAATTGCATTAAAGAATGTTTGTGTTAACTGCTGCTCTAGGAATTGGGGCCGCAGCCGTGAGCAGTAAAGTTACCTGCTTTCATGAAACTTGCAGATAGGCAGTAAAGGTCTGGTGACCACAAGTATGACGGGGGATCTTGGGGCTGAGGGGTGACTGTGCAGCAGAAGAGCTTGCTCACTGGTTCCCGGTGAAGGTGGCTTCAGACCTTGGGGAAGTGAGCAAGCCACCCAGGAGGTTTAGAAAGTTTCCAGGCTGAGGCAGCATCAAGCTCTCTGGCTTTGGGAAACTGTTGCCCCACAGAGCTGATACAGGTGGGGTACAGGCAGCACCTTAGAATGGGAAGTAGCATTTGCAGAAATATCAACAGCATAGAATAGTTTTCGAATATGAAACCCAGCATTTCTATGCACTTGTTCCATAATTAAGTGAAAAGAAAACACTGGTTTAAAAAAAAAGAAAAATTCTGATTCTTAATTTTCATGTTAGGATATTGGGGACAATTTGCTAAACCCTAGTCAGTTTTTACCCTCCACCCCCCCCCAAAAAAGGTAATAGAAAATGTTTTTTTGGCACACCACATGTTCACATACACAAAATCAAGTATGAGAAAGTGAGTGGCTTCTCAGAAGACCGGGAAGGTCAGCCAAAGGGGGTCTCACTTTTACCTGCTAGACCACATCCTCCTTCCACTTTGTCTTGAGCATTTAAAGTATTTCTGAGATTTCTATTGTTTTTATCAAAATGGTCCTTTCTCTACAAATTATGTATGGACTTAACTAGCTCTTCAGGAGGTAATAGCAGGGTAGATAAAACTTGTGGGCAGCGATGGATATGCCCAGGTTTGAAGCGTTTACACTCACATCTCACCCACCCACCTCACTAATGCTTTGAGTTTGAGCTAAAATGACTCTTACAGTGAGTGACCCAGTGACTGACTGTGCGTCACCAAACACTTTAAAGACGTTGTAATGTATAGAATCTGTAGTTTTAAGAGAATTAAGATTTTTGTATACTTCAAGCATTTATTTTTTAATGTGGTAATTTTTTTGAGTTAAGGTAGCATTGATTTATAGCACTGGATATAATTCAGATTGAAAAGATTATACTTGTTCAAATGCATGTTACCCACCCACACACACACACACACACACACACCACACTATACCACACACACACACACACACACACAGTCTATTGGGCTTCCTTGCCACCCACCCTCTCTCCCCCAAATGAGATGGTTTAAATTGTTCTATCAAAGAAAGCTTTTATACATTTAAAATAGTTATCTGTGTTCCACATAAAAATATTAATGTATCATGTTAAGGCTATAATAAGTAGTATTAATAACAAATCACTAATTGTGGTGCTTAAATTTTCATATTTGTAAGAATTTATAAATCTTTATGCAGCACTGAGTTCAAAATATGCTGTCTCATTCAAATAATACAATTAATTTTTAAGCTTTTAAAAGATAGGCTAATAAGCAAGAGGAGGAAAAGAGGCACCTACATAGTCACAAGTGGGTATAAGGGGTACATAAATTCTTAAATCGCAGTTTTAAGGGTCACATGTTTCAAGTGTCTTGGTTTAAATTAGTATTATTTCAGTTATAAAATGTGATTTCCAATGTCATGACAGTAATCAAGCACACAGTAATACAGAATTGACAGGCTACTAAACCCTTCTAAAAAGAGCATGGAGTGACTACTTTCAATGGAAAACTTTTAAATGCTCTGTAACTAAAGTGGAACACTGTAGGTAATTCGAAGACCGAATGTCTCTTTTTCACTCACTCTTAATGTAGACGGTGTCTTTTTAATCGATTGGACCTACAGTTATCATTTTATTTGTCTCCCTTTTAAAGAACTTTTATTCAGGCTGTGACATTTTCCAGGATTTTCTTTCTTTTTTTTCTTTATGTATCCACTATATTCCAATTTCTCTTCTGTTTCTTTACAGTTAATCATGAAAGCTGAAAGGATTAGACTTATGAAGACTCAGCAAGCAAGTCAACACATTCGATTTTCAGAGTATGAATGAAAGAGTGGTTTTCCTCTTCCCAGCTCTCTGGCAGCTCTTAGGAAATCATTTTTGTTATGGTAGTAATGCAAAATGAATGTTTGCCTAAAAGCGACAATTAAAAGAAATTCCTTCCTTCATTTGTAAATAAGGCTTTTTTTCCCCTAGAGACACTGAACCTTCCTTGGTGGAAAGTATACACATCACCCTCAAAGTAGACTAGTAAATAAATGTTTTGGAGCACTATGAATACAGCATTTGTGAAGATTAATATTACATCAATCCATAGTTTAGAACAAATTTTAGCAGTAGACTCGTAACTGTATACAACTATAGAGGTAGGTAGCTTTTTCCATTTTCAATATCTTGAAAATTTTTTATGTGGATTTACACCTATAGGTATGTATAATACTTCATTCTGTTTACTGCAGTTTTTCTAGCCCATCGTCCATTGAACTGATCATGATGAAAATGTTAACATAAAATACTGAGTTTTTTTTTCATAAGTGAAGTTAAAATATTTTATTTTGGTCTGAAAAATACAGTGTTTCTGATGTAAGGCCTTCCTAGGGCCTGCACAGCTTCTGCTTTGAGCAGAATATCAAGAGAGGACTCCCGACAACCATGGGTTTCATTTCCTTGGGCTACAGACCCACTCCTAGTTCCATCAGCTTGGTCCAGAAGTGGAGACCTATCCTGACTGCCCCTCGCATGCATCGTGGGAGGCCTGCAGTCAATACTCTCTTCCCTCCAGAATTTGTGGGGTTTGATTATTTAATTGCTTGGAGTGACATCAGCTTACTACCATCAAAAGTAGTGTGGCAAATTGCTACTGATTCATTCCATTCTTTTTCTCCATGAAGGAAAATTAACTGTATACAGTCATGGAGGAAAAGAAAGAGCTAGAAGTATTTACCCCTAGTAAGTATGACTTGATAAGAGTGCTTACAGGCAGATAAAAGTTCCAGTGACTTAGGCTTCAGCGAGTACTGTGTTATGGTGACTTTAGAGAGGTTATCAAGAAAAATTTGAGAAGTTCTCTCCTTGGCAGTTTTTTATAATACCTAAATACTCCAATAAAGGTTTGAGTAGCTGCTGCGATAGCCCTTGTGAGACTTGAGTGAAGCAGATGGAGACATTCCCTCTCTGGCAGAGTTTATATTTCATCACTATGTACAAACAAGAGAAAGTAAATTGTGCCTTTTAGTAGGTAAGTCCTGAAGACAAAAAGAAGAAGAAGAAGAATATATGCAACCATTCTTTTATTTTTTTCTTGAATTCATTTATTTAAAGGACTATTTAGTACCTGTTAGCATTAGGCGCTGATACTAGAGATGTTGCAAATACAGTGTGTGAAGTTCCCATCCTTGAGGAATTTATCACCTTGAGAGAGACAGATAAATTAGTCAAATTTCTGATGTTCTTTCAAGTACCTTGTGAACCTTTGATCATTTGAGTAAGTAGGTTGCTTTCTTTGTCCAACACTTAGCAGGTAGTAATTCCTTAAATATTTGTTTAATTGAGTTATGTTATTTGCTTCAGGATATTCCCTGAGGGCAGATGTTATCATTGCTTGCCTGAAGGGTTTTTTGGGAAGCTGCTGATTCTGGGTCCACAGGGCTCTTTTTAAGGCCTATTACTTAACTATGCCATGTCAGTGGAATTTGCTTTTGAACTACAAAACTAATTTAAGTCAGGTGAATTTCTGGCATGGGAATTGCTGTTGTAAAGATACATCTTTTATCTAGTGTGTCCAAAATAGTCCAAGAATGCTATACAGATTTTTACTGTCAACAGCATATTTTAAGGATATCTGATTGCTTTTTATTAGTCCTAAACTATCTTTTACATATCACCTAATCCATTTTCTTCACAATTGCTGAGCTGAGTGGTAGGGAATGTGTCTTGTTCTTACCTATGTGTGCATATCCTGATGATGGACTCAAGAGATGAATATCTTCGTACATGCCTATATAAGGTTTTTAAATCCTCACGAAATTACTTAGTTATTTTTATAGTATGGATTTTTTTATACGTGGGTGTCCTATGCAATTAACATATGAACATTGTTTTAAATTTTAACAACAACCACTTGTCTTTCAATCTGTTTATGGTAGATTACTGTATAGATAGTTGACATTTTACAGAACCCTATCTTTTCATCTGCTTTTTAGAGAAAATGATCTCCCAGTCTGGGACCTGTGAATCCTGTCTGTAGGTCACTTCTTATTCTCTGATGTCAGGAAGACTAAGGTGAGAAGGCTCTTTTCTTGAGTTAACATGAGTCTTTTGTTCACACCAACTATGGTTTAATTAAAGTAATGCCTGCGTTTAAATAGTAAATCCCACATTTCATTTTGTAAATGCCTTAGAAAGCTTACTACACAGAATAGCATTTAGAATGAACAATTAGGAAGGAGTCTGATGAGGAAAGAGTCAACACTTGTATTTATTCCTTAGATACTGCACAAATCAAGCTACTGTGTGTAGCTACACACACTGCACTCAGGCCATAATCCAGTGCGGAAGGATCTTTAACTCTTCACATTTAACACTTGAGACCAAAACTTGCAGTCACTGGAGGAAATAACATGAGAATATGCTTTTAAATCATCACCAGGCTTCCCTGTCTGTGGTGCTCTTAACCAGTCCAGGCTCAAGAAAAAAGCACGGTTTCTTCATCATCACATGCTTGCTGCTCCATGTGGCTTCTTCAGGCATATGTGGATGAGATACCTGTAGGGAGGTGACTATGGCAGTGTTTATACTGTATTAAAGTCCCTTTTTGTTAAAGTTTTATATGTTTTGTCTTGATGCGGCGGATGGCAGAACCCACTTAGAGCAGGCAGGTTTGGGGTTTCATGGTGCCCCTCTCCCTGTCCCGTAGCAGAATAGTTTAAATTACTTGAATATGGCTGACATATTTCAGTGGGGCACCACTGACTTGGAGGAACGGCCAGAACCAACGACAGCATTTATACTACTAGCTTATATGACTCACAGTTAATGCAAGAAATCAGCTGAAAATAGCAAGAAGTTTGCATTCTGTAGAAAAAGTTCAGCAGATTGCAAGGAAATAAAGCTAATTTCCATCGTGAAATCATTTGATAAGCCTCCTATTTTCTCACCTTTTAACTTGGAGTAGATGTGGATTTATATTTCTGTATTTGCCTAGTGGTATAAGGAAGTAAAAATGGCATGGATCTAGGGAGATTATGTTCCATACTTGAAGAACTTTACATGGAATTATTTACTTAGCAACCTTTCAAACACATCTGCATAATCCTTAACTTAAAGTAGTTATGTACAAAATGTAGATGGATACTGTGAATTCACTAGTGAACTCATTATGGAGCTGATAAATTAGATTTGAACCAAATGGGTATGACCAAGTAAGGTACATTTTATAGTACTTTACCTGAAGTATTATAAAACCCAGAGTTTCTGTTGCAGTATAAATCTTAGCTCACGAACTAAGGTGTGCAAGAAATACAACTTAATTTTCCAGTATTCAGCTTGCTTTCTGTTTGAAGCCATCTCAGAAGTTCCTTAATGCAGTCAGTGGAGCTCTCCCCTTTCTCTTACAGTTGAGTCAGAATTTGGAGGCTCATGCAGTGCCATCTTCGAGGGCCATTGTTTCAAGTCACCAGTCTCAGAAGCCACTGTTTCCGTTAGCCCCAAGTCAGAAATTCACTCCAGGTGGTAGGTATCCCCTGTTCTAACAGTAGATTTGTGACTGGTAGTCCTCATAGTACTTCAGGTCAAGCAGAGAACACAAAAATAACTCTAGACCTTCTGTTCCGTGCTGTAACTGGCCCTGCTCATGGAGCAGGCACTAGGTTAATTCTCTTCTCCATCAGTGAATCTAAGTAAGGTTAATATACTGTAAGTGTATTTCTAGGCTAAGTGTGCAAGAACAACTGAGAAAGAAATTATAATACAATTTATGGATCTAGGGAGATTATAATATAATAATTATACCATAATAATTATATCATAATATAATTTCTTGCAGTTCTTCTGGTTGTAAGAAATAGAAATTGAAGTAGATTAAACCAAAGTGGGGGAAAGGTAAATCTTGCAGAAGAATCAGATGAATAATGAATCAGGGACCCAGAGGACTCTGAACATCTCCATGGTGGGAGTTTTTAATGTATTTTGTATTGCCATAAATAAAGTTGTTTTCCAACACTATATAGGTTTAGGAGTGCAATTTCTCACCCCTCCAGGTGTGTGCACAGTAGGATTTTCTGAGAGGCTGAGTACTGTCACCTTGACTGCAATGCTCTCAGCACTTACTAACGCTCTGCTCAGGATTCCTAATTCCCAGGAGACAGACTGTGCTAGACCAAGCCTAGTTAGGTGCCTGTTGAATCCGTTGTCACAAGAGGAGAAAAGCTTCTGAATACTCAGTAGGAATACATAAGTGTGGGGAGTAATTTCTTATTATTCAAAAGGACAAAGATAGCTGAGCCCTTATACTAATTCTTTTAAAGGCGTAGACTTGAGAGGACAGCGCATGTGAAAATGCTAAAGGCGGAACTGTCCTGCGTGATTTGAGACATAGCAAAGACTCAGTAGCTGAAGACTGGTAAAAAGGAAGTAGAAAGAGGTAAGAATGCTGTAGGTTAATAAGTATCTCTAGATATTTTTCATATGTTGGACGCAGATTTGACATGTAGGCATTTAAAGTTTTTATACCAGAGAATGATATGAAATACCATTCTAATAAATCATCAAAATGTCAATTGTTTGACGTGAAGAAGGAAAAAATTGGAAAGCCATTAGAATAAGTCAGTCATGAAGAAATGCAGTGAAGGTGGGAAGGATGTTCTACATGTAAGACCTGAATCAGTCCTTGGTGACGTAGCAGATAAAAGTACTGTTGGAAATGGAAAAGCCAAAGCTAGCTGAGATTTGAGGCTAAGTGGCAAAATGCAGGAGTTACTTTAAAAAAAAAAAAAGTTGAGAGTTGATTTTCAGCAGGTAGCCTGGTGGGATGAGGGTAATGTTTTTAGTACATGTCAATTTGGTGTGGCGTTCCAAGAAGCATTTCTGTCCAGGCAGTTGGGCATGTGGCTACTGCCACCAGGTAATGTCAAACCAAATGTCAGGACTTGGGTTTGCCCCCACTCATGTTATTGAAG